GTAAATTAAACTGGAAAAGAGCACCTTCTCACTGCGTTCGGTCTGTACTGGCAACCTCGGTCAAGATTCTCCCATACAGACCTCCTGCTCGGTTAACAAGAACTAAATATTGAGTATGGTTTTGAAGGAAAACACAAGATCATGTAAATGTATCTGTCTTTTCAACTTAATGAATAACAATGTGAGAAGTAACCAAGATAATATTGTTTGTGCCAAAATTTGAGTGAACTTTACCTTTCTGTTGACTGTTAAACTATTGCAAAGCTTTATTACATGAAAACTTACTAAAAAAGGGTTCACAAACCAAGTAACACAACACATCTTTCAATCGCAACATTGAGCTAACCACCTCCCAGTTAGCTCAATGGATAGAGCGCTGGACTGCTGTGCGGGAGGTCGAGGGTTCGAGCCCCGGCTGGACCAACACTCAAGGTCTTAAAATAATTGAGAAGAATATGCTACCTTTCTACAACGTCAAGAAATGGTTAGATATTCTAGTCTTCTCGGATAGGGATGAATAAATAGAGGTCCCATCTCCTACAGGGTTAGGGGTAGGAGATGTTAATTTCCCTTGCACAAGATTACTGTGTGATGGATGTCCTACCCTGGGGTGGGATTGGTGGGATTTATTGGGTGGACTACTCGCATGGTTCGCGTATGTTCCGTTCTAGTCCTACCCTACTGCGGTAATGCAGGGAAAATGGTTAGGAAACTCTGATAATGTAAAAGTTTTTTTTTGTCTATTTCAGGCAAAGCCTTCGAGCCTCTGCTTGCTCAGTGTTAAACGATATTAGGAAAAAAGCCATAGATTATTCTGTTTTGGGAATTGATGAAGGACAATTTGTAAGTCTTGGAATTATATTTTTCTAATCTATTCTGCTCCATGCTGGTACACTCTATGTATTATTGTTGTGAATTTGAAACCATTATTTACTGTAGTTTATATCCTGTCCATAGTTTCCAGACATTGTAGAGTTCTCAGAAGAAATGGCTTCTCTTGGTAAAACTGTTATAGTTGCTGCATTAGATGGAACCTTTCAAAGGAAGGTAAACAGTGTATAGAGTAACTTACATCCAACCTTTTCTTAAAGTGTCAGGTGTAACTCAAACACAAGTGTCAGGAATAAAGGAAATGAGGCTGTAGATTTATAAAAGAGAGTTAATTACACCCTCTTAAGTTATAAATGAGACACAAATATAGGGATAAAATTTGTTCATCATGATAAACACCACAAGTTCCTAGGATCTAAGAAATTAAAAATAATTACTTGTTCAATCTCTACAGGCCTTTGGAGCTGTTCTGGATCTTGTTCCTCTTGCAGAGAGTGTTGTCAAACTTAATGCAGTCTGTATGCATTGCTTTAAAGATGCGGCATTCACAAAACGATTGGGGGAGGAGACAAAGGTACAAGTGTTGTTTTCAATAAGCTCACAGTGGTTTTACTTTACATGAAACAGAGACAAAACATTGCTACTTTCCCTGGATAGCATGGTAATCTATCACAGGTTTAAAGGCTGAAAGTTTCTAAAGAAACTGTGGTGCTTCGTAGGTGGGGGTAACAAGGTAATTTGGTTATATCAACTAAGTTGAAATTGTAAATTGGCCACCGTAACGAATAAAAAAGCCGACATTTCTATCGTTAGCCCTTCATCAGAGCGAATGACAAAGGGCGAACGCTAGAAACATCAGCTTTTTTATTCATTATGGCGGTTACGGTGGCCAATTTACAATATCACAGGTTTAACATTTTTCAGTAGCAGTCTGACAGGTTTTGGTGACAAATTTCCACAACCCTCCCCTTTTCAGTCCTTGTTGGAGGCTGAGTGTCATGTGTGTAATACAAGAAAAAACCACAGTGACCCCAGCAATTAAACCTAGACCTTGCTCTTAAAGTGAAGTGAGCTTGTTCTTCAGTTTACCATGTTCCTCACGATACTTATCATGTGAAGTGAGGAAAGAAATCATTTTGATATTGTTATTAACTGTTTCTTAAGTATACTATAATTTGTCAGTCAAAAGAACACATTGTAATATCAGAGGCTTTTAGTTAGCACCCAATGTGCACCCCAACTCAGCTTCAAAGGCTAACCAGACAATTTGGTCTTTGATTGCATCCCCAGGTTGAGGTTATAGGGGGAGCTGAGAAATACATGGCTGTTTGCCGGGATTGCTATCAGTTCTCAACTGTCCAACAAGTGTTGGCTGGGGCCCCAATAAGAGGCAGCTTTCACTAGGTGTAACAACTCAAATTGCTGTGTTAAAGCTAGTATTTTTTCATGAATTTCACTTGTACCTTTGCATAATGCACATATTTACCACACGCTGTACCAAAACTATTGCCTCAAACTGCCAAGCAGTGATTTAAGACGTTTTAGTATAGTGTTTTGTGAAGACAGAGAAAAACAATTCTTTTTTATGGTCAATTTGATTATGCTGAGATTCATCTGCAAGTATTTGTAAATAAAGGCCGATAGTTTCAAAAGAAACTGTTTGGGGCTGCGTCAGTGGGGGTAACAAAATAATTTGGATATATCAACAAAGTTGAAATGGTAAATTGGCCACCGTAATGATTACAAAAGCTGAGTTTGCTCAGTTTGTTCTCTTTCAGTGTTCCGGTTACGAATCTTACAAATAAAAAAATTGAGGTNTTTTGGTCAAATAATTTGAATTGTCTGAGATTCATGGAAGAGCTGATTAAAAGTTAAATAAAAAGGTTCAAACGCTCTTTTACGGTGGTACTTACTGCTAATGCTTCCTCTTGTCTTCTCTGTTCATAAATCTGTGAATTTAAAATGAATATTGATGAATCTTTGCCAGGAGGTTGTACTAGTTATTGTGTACTTTAGTGCACGTCAAGTGTTGCTTTCTACGGATCCAAAGATGGTAAGAACAAGTATATAAGTTACTGACCTCTTCTGCCTCTTGTCTCTCATCATCTGTGTATTCGTCTTTGTCAAGCCTTTCTAGTCGCCGCAGGCTTATCAGCACTTCTATACGATAATCATCCTCATCTGACACTGGGCACTCTACAGAGATTGACAAGCATTTTTATTATTGTTAAAATTTATTAGGTGACTAAGTTACACCCATTTTACAGGACAGTGAAAAATATTAATTTTAGTTTCCACGGAGAAATGGAGGTAAAATGTAGAAAACAGTTTTTATGTTGTCAAATTTCCTTATCAGTGGTAGTAGAGGAAAGATGCAGCAGTAAGGGTAGCTACAGAGGAAGGCAACAATTTCTTCAGCAGCAAAATTTTTATATGGCCACCAATTAAGTCAGTTCACCTCTAAGCATTTTTCAACACAACACTGACAATCCAGTGTGTGGAATAAATACTTAAACAGAATCTGAAGGGGGGAGGGGAGAGGGAAACAAAATAGGCAAAGTAGGGGAGATGTAATTGAGCAACAGCACATGACAAAGCCCCCTGCAAAACTTCTTGTAGCCCCTCCCTACCTTCACGTCAGTGCCATTATTGAAACTAATGCCTTATTAGAATAATGAAATGAAGATTGGAATGGTTAAGGTAACTGAGAACAAACTCTTGACTGGTTTAAGATTTCACATTATTGACACGAGTATGTGTGTCATTGGTATCATCCATATATATACTCCTAACAGTGGAGTTTAGAGCAGGTATTATCCTTTAGTTTTCAACTTCAAGTTCCTCCATCACATCTAAAATCTTATGGAGACCAAACATTCTCTGCATGTTCAAATGGTAACTTGGCCACCGTAACGATTACAAAAGCTGACGTTTCGAGCGTTAGCCCTTCGTTGGAGCTCCGACGAAGGGCTAACGCTTGAAACGTCAGCTTTTGTAATCGTTACAGTGGCCAATTTACCATTTCAACTTTGTTGATATATCCAAATTATTTGTAAATAACTTTGTTCACATGATTTCTACACACACAAAAGATATTTAAGGCAGATTAACAGCCATACATTATTGCTGAAGGGACTGCATTATGAAGTTTTAAGTATACTTTTATCTTCTCCTAATACATTGAAATTTTGTACCTCAATTTAAAGAAAACTTTCTGCTAGCTGAGCATGGCTTTGACTTCCCTCGATTATTAGGCCAGATTTATATTATCTTTGTAAAATCTAAATCTTTTCCATTATCGATTAGGTTGCCAGACATGAAAAGTAAAACAATTTGTCCTAATTGTAACATACAAAATTTAATATTAGTTTGGGATTGTCACATAATTTCTTAAAAATTTGGGAGGTCTCTGTGAACTTTCATTGGAGGTTTGACATAACATCATATTACCTTTTAAACAATCATGAAAATTAGTTAGACATGGAATTTTTGAAAAATTTTCAGATCTCATTAATGAGTCCAAGCTTTGTGCTCATTATCATTATTAACCTCATTGCTCACCTATTATTCAGCTTAGAAAGTATTCCATATCCTTGGAATCAGGGACGGCTTTTCCTTAAGTGGTTGCAAATGTTTTTACTGGTTGCATGTTAATATTCATCATAAGCAGCTGAGTTTTGATAATGTTGGGTATCCTTAACAAAAGATTTTTAATCATTATTTCAAATTATGTTACAACTGTTTTATAATAAGAGTTAATAAAGTTATTCTTGAAAAAAATTATTTGCAAAGTAACCTTTTATGTGAGTGGATCTTTTTCTTGAACAGATTACATTTTCACATTAGAAAGACAGTGGTATCTAGAAAATTCATTCAGTTTCAAATTAAATGTTGGAAAAGTAAAGGAAATCTGCTCTGGAATTAGATTTTGAAACTGTTACTTGATTTGTTTTGTTTTCTTTTTTTTTTTTTTTCAGTTAATAGTAAATAAAGCTCATCTTACCCAAGACTAGAGCTTTACCAATACAATTACAATAGAAGTCTTAGAGTACACTTCTCAATTACACCCTATAGATGACCTCCAAGCTTCTTTTAACAATTTCAACACATCTAGAAAACAAGGTGACAGGACAAACAGCAACTTGGAGGGAAAATTAAATCTCTGTCTTCATTTCAAACCTTGAACTCCAAAGATCTGATCATTAATTCTCCCCTCTGGCTAATACACATTTCCCTGTAGACTGGTCACAAGAAATTGGTTTGAAATCAAGATATTACCGGTAACTTCTCCCTGATAAGTTCCAGTCCCCTCATTACCTGCTTGTTGGATAATGTATGGGTGTTAAAACGGAGAAGTCACAAGTTTATCACTAAGAGTTCAAGGGTAAAGAACCTTGATGGTTTAACAAGAACAGATTTTTCAAATGGCAAGAAATAAAAGAACTCTTGCACGCATTTTCACCTTCAAAAGGTTCATTTAATGATCAGTTAACTCATACTTCACAAATAACTCTTCCAGACAGACGAAGTTTAATAATTTATCAGTCCACCATTAAGGCTTGACAATCCATGGTAGAGAATCCTGTTTAAATTTTGTCAAAGAAACAACTTTGGCCCTGAACTTTCCATAAGTTGTAATACCTGATTTCAAATTTAAATTATTTTAACAATAATAACTATTGGGGTTTGTTTGAGTACCCAAAATACTGAGAGACTGGCTGACAAGAGTAGTTGTGGCATTTACTAGAAAACTCATTAAAATCTTTTCTTCATTTTTGAGATAAAAAAATTACATCAAAACTTAATAGGAAAAGGATACTGCTTCTGACAATTTCACATTACTCAACAAGACTTGGAAACTACACTCCACCATTTACCAAGGAGATTTAAAAATAACTTTTTCACACAAATTCTATTCCGTAAGAAGGCAGTGAGAACAGGGAGAAACTTAGAAAGATGTTTACTTAAAATAACACAAACTTCAATAAACTTGTTCTGAAGGAGATGTTGAGAACCTGGAGGAGAAAATAAAATTCTTAATCTGATCTTCAACTGCTGACCCCACAAAGTGATCATCACCTTTGACCGACAATTTTCCATGAGTAATCGTGGCATTTTTAACACTACTAGAAGTTCCTTGACCATCTTGCCACCCTAGGTACCAATCTACTATTATTAAAAGTATGATAACTTAAATATACCTTACAACAATAATCTGACTGACATTCATGTATGTGCGTCACTAACTGATAGAGAGTTGCCACCATTTGTACAACATCTAAGTTGGGATCCAAGAGGCCATAGAAAAATTATAATTTCAATTTGCAATTTTTATAACAATGGAGTTCAATTTGATGGATGAGTGTTGCTGTGACCCTTAAAACATATCTATGCTACTCCAACCTTACTGAACAAATATAATGCTGTATTATCATCACACTGACTTTTTCATGACTCACATGGTGAAAGATGAATTGTGAAATAATGTTTTAGTTAATAATGATCTGCTATGGTTGTTGCCCTATGATAGTTCTTTTCCATGGGAAACAATTCTTAATTCAATAATTTAATGAAAAGGTTTCTGGGGACACTCATAGAAATTTGTTTTAAAAAAGAAGAGCTTAACATAAATCTATCATGATTGTAATAACACATTTAAATTTCCTCTCTTGTTTTGGCCTTTCAGGAAATATGTATCAGTTTTTTTTTTCCTGTAAGATCCAAATATTACTAAAACTTAAAATGTCAATTCTGCTTCATTATAGGACAGCTCCTCACAGCAAAAAAAGTATGAACCTTCATTTTCTACTCAATACTTCAGTTGTAACAGAATTCAGTGATTAACTTACAGAAGAAGAAATAAAGCATTCATGCACCTGAGAGAGAAATGCCAACCCTGCCTTGATCTTTTCAGCCTGAACTCAGCAACAGCATGAATTATTTGCAAGCTCTAAAAAAAACTGAACATTGCACCATGGGACATAGGAAGATTTAATGAAGACCAAATAGCTACAACTTTGCACAGATAACACCTGAAACTGTTTTGGCTTTCTTCACTGTCAATTCTGTCAATACATCCTGCTAGGCCTTACATTAATAACTTCCTTGAGAGCAAAACCCAGTCTTTCAAGAATGAAACACTTTCAAAGTATTTAAGAACAGCTAAATTATAATTACCATTTGACAGGGTAAGAACTAAGCATACTCATATGAAATGTTCACATTTAAACACATTTCCCTGATAATTTATAAGAATACCAGTATTCTGATCAGCAACGAAGCCCAAAAAAACATGTTGAAAGCCCAACACACAATGTGCTGCAGCTTTGTAATGTTGTAAGGTGGTTGCATACATTATTCACGCATCTCAGTGGATATATCCCGATATAAACTTCATTGTATGTTTTGTAGATCCAGCCCACTTAGAGACAACCATTCCACTCTCAACAGAAAAATGGCATCTGTACACATGCTTAGGTATTGTACAATCCTAACTTGTTCATTCTGATCTTTAACTTCTCACCCTTTGAAGTGCTCTGCATGCTAATAAATGATACCAGTTAAACAGAACATTTGTTTCTCTGCACAAGACATCACTTAGTCCAGTGCCCATTGTTTTTTCACCTCAGACCAACAAGCAGGTTCCCAAAATTCACCACTAGTCCACTCACGATGTCTAGTGCCATGACGCTTGGTAGCTTTCATCTTTCACACTTTGCAAAACACATTTCACAACTTTATAAGCATGAAATCAGGAAAAAAACTGTTGTTTAAAGAATACACCTGGTCCTGTCAAGTGTATGTTAACATGTCAAACACCTCCTCATCTGATGATTTCTGATTTCTGGTCAGTCGCTATGTCTGCGATAAATGATTGGTGCCTTAACTACTAACTGTACACAACAATAATGGCAGTAACTTAGCAGCCTTAACACCTTGAGAAAGTTGATGTGTGTGAAGGCTAGAGCTTTCCTTTATCAGCAGTCTGGTTGGGAATGGTTACCCTGAAATGCAGCACTTGGCTGAGATAATTTTTGACGCTTTATTTCATGTTCTTCTTCACTGTTGGTCAATGGTTGACTTGTGCTTAATGATCGCTTGGCACCATTCATTGCCATGGAAACTGCAGCTGTAGTGGCAGCTGGAGACAACACCCCAAGAGGAGAGGAGTCAGGAGTGAGTGCTCCAGTTGTTACGATAGGAAGTGGCAGAGGGTTGGGAACTTTTGGGATCTGTGGTTTGACTGACATATCCTGAGTGCCAGTTGGAGAGACATTTGTTGGTGTAGGAATGGGAGTGAGCAAGCCACCTAAAACAAGAAAATTATCATAAAAAGGTTGCCTTTATTCACCATGTTGAATACTCTTTTAGTGGAGTGTAGTTATTTGCCTTGCCACATAGTCATTTCTGAGGTGGTTTGCAATGTTTCAACTGCATACTACTTACCTTCTTTAAAAAGTCTACTTCTATACACAACTAGTCACTTTCAGGCAATTGCCTGAAGATAAGCAGTATGCAGTCGAAACCTGGCAATCTAAAAGAGATTAGGACATCCCAAAACATATGATTTTCCTTCAAAACACAAAAATAGCAACTTGAAAAACACAAAAGCACACTGACACTACGCTGTTTATAAATACTGATAGAAATAAAAAGATAAAAATATTTCCTAAGTTAGAGACATCTAACTTAGGACGTTAGATGTCTCTTAGAGACGTTTCATGCTAATTTTATATTCGACTGACACCAATAGAAAACAAAAAACTTAAGCCATCAGTTTAAATTTTGCTACATCTGAAAAAACTTGGATTGCAAGATAAATTTACTGGTTTACAGACCAGCTAACTGACTTTTTGATCAATCTGGATATACCTACAAAGTTGAAATGGTAAGTCGGCCACCGTAACGATTACAAAAGCTAACATTTCGAGCGTTAGACCTTCGTCGGCCCTTCACTCAGATGAAGGGCTAACGCTCGAAATGTCAGCTTTTGTAATCGTTACGGTGGCCAACTTACCATTTCAACTTTGTTGATATATCCAAATTATTTTTGATCAATCAATGGCTTACAACACGACCAACTTGACCAAAAACAAGCTGTTGCTGTTTTTACACTTACCTGCACTAGGAGCAGCTGCTCCTGCTAAAAACTGAAGAGGAATCTGCTGCTGTTGTGGCAATTGGTGTTGTTTTTTATCTTGTTGTAGTTTTTGTACTTGTTGTTGGGTTGGTTGTTGTATTGGGTTTACTAAAGTAGAGATCACAGGTTTGTTGCCAGCTGTTTTTGCATCTGGTTGAAGAGTGTTCTCTACAGGCGACTCATCTCCTGACGACTGAGAAAATCCATTCTTCTCAGACTCAGCTCCATCCCCTTCCTTCACAGCCTCCAAAGAAGACTTGATCACGCTGACAGGCAGAGCAGCTCCTGCCATTTGTGCAGCAATTGCCTGTAATGCGGCTGATTGTTTGAGGGCTGTTGGAGGTAAAGAGGGCACAGGAGGTGGAAGTCCAGATGCTGGAATGATAGGAGGTGAGGTAGGGGTTGGTTTGGCTTGAGATCCTGTAGCATCAACTGCCTGGGTCACCGTTTTGGTTGGGGAGTTCTCTCGTGGTACATGAGTCACTGGAGCAGAGGGAGCATGAAACTGAAGACCATGAGTGGGAGATGCTGGTGCTGACCTAAGGAGTCAGATGAATCAGTTATGATCCAAAAAAATACTTTGTGTATACAGCAATTGACAATGTGGAACTCTTACACATCTTGTTAATATCAAAGCTTCTGAGATTTTCATATTGTATTCTCCCACGATGTTGTGGGACAGAGCCATGGAGAAACAGGAGATGGCATAAAGCAGCCAATCACTTTTTCCCTCTCCTTCAAAATTGACTGCTCACCCAGTCTTTACTTACATTTAATGGAAACTACCTCTATCTAAAATAATTTTTGGTAAGGGTATTAAAATTCTGTTTTCTGAGTAATAGGTGAGCATCAAGGGGACATCAGCTGCTTTCCCTTTAACTATATACCTGCAAGACAGTTGAGAGAAAGGTGGTCTGAAACATGGTACACCTCGCTGTCGACGTTTCCGGAATGCTTGCTCTGCTAGCTTCTGCTCACATGATGGGTCAATCCGCCAGAAGGAGCCTTTTCCTGGTTCATCCTGTGCACGTGGTACTTTCACAAAATAGCGGTTCAATGATAGGTTATGACGAATGGAATTCTGTTGAATATTTCAAAGTAATAAAAAGGCTATTAAGAGTCCTCAGATAGTGTTATTAGCAGAGGATATCAAAGTTTAGGAAAAACTGCAGCCAAATTGTTGGAGCACAATGGAAGAACTCTGAAAATTAAATTGTGTGAGGTCATAGCATTCCTTGGATTTTCTGCTGGTTTTTAATGACCACATGCATGTAAGTAACTGATTTCACTTTAGTGCATCATTGCTTCATGCAAAATCTTTTCTGATATTCCTCTGAGAAATAGTGTATAAAAAGGTTCTTTCATTACAATTTAGCATCCTGAAAAAAGTGAAAATCAGAAAACAAAAACATTTACCTTAAATAATGAAACTCTACTCAAATGATGACTGAAATTAATTTTTACTGTCTGAAGTGTTTCAGTTTAAAGCAATTGAAGCTTTTAATCTTATTATTTTCTTTATAAAATTCAAAGTGTGAGGTTTACCTGCCAGCCTTTGTCAGCACTGCGATAATAAGGGTAGTTTTTGGTGATATGAGTGTAGATACCACTCAAAGTTAGTTGCTTATCATGCGCAGATAATATTGCTTGAACTATCAACTGAGCGTATGAGAAGGGTGGCTTGCCGTCATCTTTGCTGCCTGCCTCCCCTCCAGGGGGGTTGGGTTTGTCATCCTCTGTAGAAGCTTGGACGTCTTGTGCAGCTAACTCTGCCACAGCATGCAAGTTTGGAGCATAGGTGTGATTGGCATCTCCACGGGGACTAGTAGGACAGGAGTTTGGCACACTGCAAGGGGAAAATATCAATTATCACATCACAGCCTGTTATATCAGGTCAAACAACAGGTTTGCAAAGAAAACAAAATGCAAAGTGAAACTCAGCAAGGAGGTTCACTATATCAAGAACCATCTCACAAGGAAGTATCAAGAAATGCACAAGAAGAGAAGCAACCAAGTCTTGTTTTCTCACAATGAAAAGATGGAAAGTGAAATAAAGTGTGACCGGGCACAGGATTTTGTACACTAACGCTTTACCATTTAACGAAATAATCCATTTACTATCTGTTTATTATCCGTTTAAAATAGATGATCAAAGCGTTTAAATGCTTTCTTCATCCGTTTAAACGCTTTGCTCATCCGTTTAACGTTTTTGACAAAACGTTTAACCTATCCATTAAAAAAAAAAATCCATCCGTTTAACAGTTACTTGCATCCGTTCAATGTTTTTGAAGAGCAACGGTATAAAACAGTCCCAAGAAGAACCCGTTCAAAATCAATCACGCTTCGATCGAGTGGCTCTGTTGGTCTTCGCTACAACTTACTGTTTGCAAATCTCTGGTATGAGGTCTTCAATTAGAAGAATTCTCAATCAGATATTGAGACACGAGAGCTCGCATTACCTTACGAAAACAGAATGATATTCGTTAAGTAACACGAGAAGAGCGAGATTTGTTTTCATGCTTACGCAAATTTATTTCGATAGACGTGTACGGCAAAACTATTTACCGAGTCGGTGGCTATTGGTTTCTCATCTTTTATTTGCATCGATTGAAAGGAAACAAACATGGCTTTATAAAAGCTATAATTACTTTACGAAATCGAACGCTAGATGAAACATGAGCGAAAGAAAGTTGCATATGCAAAATTGATTTGATAGTTGACCGATGGTGAAATCTACAAAATCGGTGGCTATTTTTACCTACATATAATCCATTTCTTAACGTTTTTCACTTGATAGTGCGATTTCATTTCGGTCAATACGTAGAAGAAACAATGTAAAAAAAAAAAAAAAAAAAAGACTGCTTCTCAATTCTAATTTTTTTTTCTGTCGAGAATGTTCAGTTTGCATGGTATGATTGACAGATTGCTTCCTCTGCTTATATTTTATGCAAATTTTCAAACGCATTGCGAGCTCTCCAGAGTGAGACTCACTCTCCGCTCGCTTTACTCGTCAGTGGATAGCTTAATCACAGGCTAGTAATTTAATTTTACTTTGTTTTCTATTGGTGTCAGTCGAATATAATATTAGCATGAAACGTCAGTGTTCTGCAAGAACAACATTATTCGTATAATTGTTCACAACGGTTTCTGTTAGTTATGTGCATGGCTTATCCCGCTGTTCTTTAGCCCTCCTGATCGGTTCAAGGTTTTTGTCCATCTGTTTAACTGAACGTTTTAAGCTATTGATTAAACGATTCTGCTCAACCATTTGACGTTTTAAGCCATCAGTTTATTTTTTTTCTCGGCCGTTTAACAGTTTACGGAATCCGTTTTTGGACTTTGCTCTACCGTTTAACGCTTTGGACTATCCGTTTAAATGGGTATGCAAACCGTTTAAACACTCTTACTACCCGTTTATTATCCATTTACAAACCGTTTATTTTCATCCGTTTAACGAAAAAGCGTTAGTGTACAAAATCCTGTGCCTGGTCACAAGTACTCTGACCCTATTTCAGAGTCAAATCAAATCAAATAATTTTAAAACGCATTGCTTGATTTAAACACAATTATCTTTAAGTTAAAAAGAAAATTTTGAAATTAAGAAAAAAATCACCTATTTATCTGTTTTTTTCTCACTTGAAGACTGAAAAAAACATATTTCCATCTCCTCAATGAACACACAAAAAATACTTCTATGTGCATTAAAAATTTAAATTTTAAATCATTTAAATTAAGTTATTATTATAGAGCCAAATTTTTTAAACAAAATGAATGATAACTAACTTTTTCTAAATTAATTGTGAGATATTAATTAACAGGACTCCCATCAAAAGAACAGTAAATGTCCAATTTATTAAACTTTGGCTGGCAGAGTGCCAAATTAGCTGTTGTATGAAACTGTAATAATGAGTTTAAAAAGCCAAAATGATATGATATGGCAGCCATAGTTTCTTTCAGATTAAGTTGCAATGCATCGGATGATTATTATTTCTTTGATTTGAGGTGATTTAAACAAGTTTTGTCCAAAACAGATTTTTTTACTATTTGCCACTTGAATAACTGGTCAAAATTTGTTCAACAAGAAAATTTTTCAACCCAAACTAAACTCACTGATAATTTAATTGCACATTTTGATTACTCTCAAAATGAATAAAACTAGGAATCCATAAAACCCTGTTTTCATTTTTTGAAAGTGTTTACCTTGTTGATTAACAATGCCAGGTCACACAGATGAAACACAAAAATATGATTTGGATATCTTTCATCTTAATCTTTCATTATGGTAATAAAAGCTGTTCAAAACAATCCTCTTTGAGAAATGTTTCAGACAAATAAATTATAATTTACAAAAATGAAAATTACTTACTGTAATTGGAAACATAACAGCAAAAGGAAGAGAAAGAACACTGTTCACTGGAAGCAATTAAAAGTTTGTCCAAAGTAATTTAGGCAGAATAGGAAAAAATTGAGTAAAAGTGATTTGGGACAGAAAAAACCAAAACAAAATGTTCCCTGTGATAACTACACAAACAATGCAGAATTAGGAAGGAAGACATGCAGACTAATATCTTAAAATTGGAAAGCACAACATTACAAACCAAAAGACATGAAACATTTCATGTAACACCTATTATGTTTGTAGAAGGGGAAACAATTCTGACCTGAAGAAAACTTTGATTCAGTAAACTTGTTTCTTTAAACCTTCTAAATCAAGAGTCACAGCTGTAAAAATTGGATGAAACTGTACTTGTTTTTAAGACAATTTAATTTTCCTGGGTCTGTCCTCAGTACTTAGAAAACAAAAGCTGTAGCTACATGGTAAATTTTTGTTCTCACAAAAAATGTACCTTGCTTTGAGTGAATAGACAGGATGCCCACATTTTCTTAATTAACATTCTGCTACAAATAATACCTTCCCACAGATACCATTAATCCATCATTATTTTAAAGGACTTTAAGACAATCATTCTCAGTGTAGCAACTGTTAAAACTCCACAACAATGACGCATTTACAACATCCGATCATATATTTTTCTAACCAGAGCAAAATAATAAAAAATCAAAGAAAATAACATCTGCACATTACTTAAACATTCATGACATAATCAAGTACAAAAATAGTACATTAGCTGTTTATTTTCCATCTTCAAATTAGTAAACTTATCACTTACTTCATAAAACCACACATAAAACAAAACAAGCAATATTTTTTTCTCGGGCAAGTTGGTCAATTATTTTGCCTTGTCCAATAATTTCTTCACAGTTCACTCAACTGTTAAAATTATTCTGTAATAAGAAATTAAATGATTATGGTTTCAAAACAAACAAACAATACCCTTTGACTTCAAACTCAAAAAATTCAAGACAACCCAAAAAAGTCAGCTTTAATCAACGCTGCTAAGTTTGACTGTCATCGTATATCTTGTTGAAAAAGGACTTCATTGATTTTATAGTCAGTTCATCTGTCGTTAAGGGGGAAATCAGACCACAACGATTTATCAGGAAAAGCTCCCGCAGCGTTTATTCTACACGCGTGCCATAAGGATAAATTGTACAAAATGTTGAAGTATCTGTACAAATTGTGAACTGGAAACACAGGAGTGGAGTACGTGTTTGCTTTTTCCAAATTGAATGTCTTGACACTTTGCTTTGTAACGAGAACGCGTTGTAACAGTCCCTCGCCTCCAGCTACAAATAGCTCAGTCGAACCTAGCCAAGATGATGCCATTTCTTTTATTTCTTATGACAAATCAACCCCAGTCATTGCAAAAAGTAGATAAACACTAGCATGCGCAGACAAAACATGAAACGGACATTGTGATGTAAGTAACCTCGCCGACCGCATGACCGATCAACGGAAATACATTTCCATAGCAAACGCGATTGCGAAACATATATTGAAATCATTAAACTGAGTGTTTTAACCGCTTCGTTGTCTGTGTGCACAATGATATGGTCGAGAACAAGAATCTTGCCTTAGGATTTCGGTAACGACAAATAAAATGTCTCAAAACCTGGTAAAACATACGTCAAAGGCAAGAGATTAGGCTCTTACTAAATTTAGAAAATAAAGTAACCAACTCACTTGCAATTTCTACCACAACACGTGCCCATAAAAACAAAAGCAACCTGTCCCTTCTAGCATTTCGCGATCTACAGACGATTCCTTTTCCCAGATAAATAATATTCTTCTATGGATCAGGAAGAAAGTTGACCCCAAATCCCCATGTCTGTAGTATACACGAAATAAACACAGCTTTATTCATATTGGTAAGCTATATTAGCCCTTGGGTTAAATCATTCGTTAATTCTCATAAAACAGTAGAGAAGGAAATCAAGAGATGCAGAGATAATAGTGAAAACACACGTATGAAAAATCGTAAACTAACACAAGCACAAAACAAACTTATCCTGAGTGAATGTGCTTACGCTTATGATCCCTACAGTTTTTATCGACTGCTGGTAATGCACACGCACAGAATAACAAAGAGAGCTGCAACTTTAATTGTTCCATACCTTATAGTTCCTGTTGGAGATGGAATAGGAGAGGCGAAGTTAGAATCTGATTGCGGGATGTTTATGCGCAGAGGTGGTAAAACTTTTGTTCTTGGGGGACTCGGTACGCGCTTCGGAGTGTTGTCACCAACCAACGACGTGAAACGAACTTTCACATTCGTGGATGGAAATCGTAGTACACAACTGAAAATACAGATTATATAATTTAAACCAAGCTCGTTTAAGCACAATACAAAATTAGGCCAGTTAACAAAACGAAGAGTAATTCGACAAACTGTAAAAGTTTGTATACATACACGTAGGGTAGTTTCAGTGGAGGAGCACCTCGTCGATGGAAAACACCGTCAACAAATATTCCGTTCTTCCCATTGCAGCTGAGATAGAATTCCTGATTTTCAAATTTTATCTGCAAGTGCTTCCTCGAAACGAAACTGGAATGGCCCATATTGACGTCTACGCTCCCAAGACTGCTGTTTCGTCCGATGATAATCCGACTCTGCCGAACCAAATATTCGAACTCGCGACCTTCAAGTTTAGCTATTGGAGTCACAGTGTTGACACCGGCCCACATTTGTTTCATAGGATTAATAGCGCCTGATTTTAGAGCTAACAGGGCCAAAGCATCACTCTCCTGATCTTGGGTAGGTGAAGACATCTTCGGCTGACAGCCAGATTCCAAATTGCCTTGCCTTGCGTTGCACAAGAAAAACGATCAAAAGCAAAACAACAACACGAGGGAGCTAAAGAAACATACGGGATTTCCAGTAACGAAAAAACCCAAACATGGATATTATTACCTTATATGGAGATTACATGTTCCTCGCACGGGTGGGTCTGTTTTGCTAAGTCATTACAAGCTGGAAATGCTGAACTTAATCTCTCCAGTTTAATGAACATTTATTCAATAATTTCACGATTATAAGACCATGTATTACATTCTAGAATGATACATGTTGGGATGAAATTTACCACCCGATGATTGAATGAAACTGTTGTTTACAGTTAATTAATGACATCTTCACTCTGGTTTCAGAAAAGGGCATTTAAATTCAGAAAGCAAAACAAAATGACAGACAGCTTTTTTTTAAATTAAATTCAATTAACAGGCCGCTACATGAATCGGTCATACACTCTTAAAAGTTCTTTATCCTCGATTTAAAATGAATGTACGAGAGCGGTACACAATAAAACTGCACAAAAGCGCACAGATTACGCTCGGCGGCATTCTCATGTTTTATTGACTTCTTATGCGGCTCACATTTCACGCGCAATTTAAACTCGTTCTCAAATGTATATTCATCCTGTCCAGATTCATCATATTGTTAATGATCAAGGTTCCGCTAAGGGTTCCAGTGCCAACCACCGACAACTTGGGTTCATGTGCAAAGAAATACAAAGTATATCTCTTTCTGTACAACTTCGTTTGTTCTGTTCTTTGTGCTTCGGTTGGAAGAGTGCAGACGGAAAGCAAACGCAAAGGGAAGGGGTTCGGTCACCAAGCTCATGCTCCATTTTGAGAGAAAAAAAAAACTACTCATAGTCTAAACAATATCACTTTTTTCACGGCCTAACTTTCGGACGATGAAGAAATTTTGAGGTCACTACTGCTGGTCCAAACATTCGCGTTCTTTTCATTTCAAATATTTGCTTCATTGGTGAATCATGAGAATTATTTTGACAACTCTAGATAAAAAAGTAACCCACCAAATAAATTTTCAGTATGACTTTTTTATTCCACAAACAATTCTAACACATAAATAGATTCACACTTTGAAAGTGCCTCAAAAATCAAGGTGACAGATGTAATAACACTTAATACAGCATAATGATAATGGCTTTAAATCTTACACTCAATTTTGTGAAAATATCTGACAAATTATGCATGAATACAAAAAAAGTTGTTTTGCTAAAACGATTGTACTGTTAAAAATCAGTTAAAGGAAGAAAACAAAAGAGAGTGAAGTAAGTTTATTTGCGAAGAAGTTAGAAAAACGATACAGAACACTAGATTAAGAAAATTAAGAAACTCACTGGCAAAAAATGTCTTCAAATTTTGTGTCGCGTAAGGGGTAATGGCTACTTTTAATAAAGAACTGAACAGTTTCCTATCGCCACAGTGCAATGATAAGAAAAAGAGAGAGAGAGAAAAAAATGAATAAGAAACAAAAGGAAAAAGCTTAAACAGAAAGAAACAAAGCATTATAGGGAAGTAATATGGTACGTACATCCTCCACATAATATAAAACAGGGTCAACTACGATCAAATCTGAAGTCTGAGTAGAAAAAAGCATCTAATCAATGGGCTAACGCTTAAAATCTTCAAGTACTTTGAATTAAACACACTTGTTCACGCGCTCAGCAACAAAGCAACCCCTGCTAGTGTCCATTTAGCAGGAGATTCCTTGGTCTTCAAGAAAAAGTTCCACACGTACGTCGGGCCTCGTTGTCGCGTCTTGTACACAGGACACTCATATACGTTCTTAGTTTCTTGTTTATCGACTGGAATGGCCCGGATGAACATCACAGGCATACCAGGCGTCAGCTCTTTCAGTCTCGATTCTGCGATCATGCCAGTTTGTGTGTCCCACCGGGCGCCCTCCATAAACAGACCGTGTACGTAAGCCCCTTCTCTGGGCGGACTGTTGAAATCTTCTTTGTTTTTCTTCGTGACATCCACCTGATAAATTATATTAGTATCATAAGTAAATGTTAACATTTTAAATCTAGAAAGGATGATCAACAACAACATGGAATGAAGAAATATATATTTTAAAAACTGTACTCCTCGAGCCTTAAGCAAGCTTTTTGTTTCTTGTTTAGGAAGTTTATAGATGTCACTACCATGCAAAGTAAGATACACTTCAGTTCTAGAAAGCATAGGTTTGATAAATTATGTTGCTTTTTCTCACTCGTGATAAGTTATTTGAAAAGAATTGTCTTTGACGCCATCTATGCTTTGAAGGCCTTATGCGACACGACGTTTAAAACACATTTTTTGCAAGAGATTTAATTTAGCAAAGTATATACAAGTGGAAACGTTGAATCCTCGGTCGGGAATGGTTGGTAAGAGACGAACCAAGTTAAAGATTTTAAATCTTTTAACCCGGTACATAAATATACCTGGAGTGCCATCTTGTCCAAAGGCCACTCGTTCTTTCGCGCCATGGACTGCTCGATGGCTGTCAGAAAAGACTGAGGATTGAAGAAACCGGACAACCAAACAACATTTGGAAGACAGAAGTCCGATGTCCAGCTTTCTAGCTCTTTAATTCGCAACAGCAGGTCCACAAACCAAGCAGCCAGGCCTGACATGGATGGATAAGCACGGCGCGTCCAGGATTCCGGGACGTCATCCAGGAAGAGAGCATTGCCAAGTTCTTCCATGTCAGCGGTGATGGTCAGCTCACCCTGCAAGGCACAGAGAGTTAAAATCTACACGAAGGAAAACCTGGGTCAAAACAAGGTTACATTATTATTCAACACGACAAAAGTCTATAGTACTTACTTTGAGACCCAAATCTAGTTCTTTGAGCGAACGTTTGATCTCGCTTGTCAGGATATTCATTCGTTCACATTCTTGGAAGGCAACTACAGTGTAAGGTGTGCGATCTTCAACACGAGCCATCATTTCCGGCACGTTAAACTCGTCCGGCAACTTCTCCAACACTTCGTCCAAAACTTGTTTAACCTGTAACAAAACCAGGTAAAATCAGTGGTCAATTTACACCCAAAAGGCAATATTCTGCTTCTCAAATTCAACATTTACCGTGAGGATTACATCACTTTATAACTAAGCAGTACTTTTGCGATCCGAACTTGCAGAATAGATTTAAGTCCAATTCTCCCTAAATGCAGCATGAGAAAAGTGGTGGATAACCTAGAAAGAACTTTAATTCTGATTACCTTTTCTTCCCGAGTCTGTCCTCCACCTCCTCCTGCGCCAGCATCCCTAGGCTGCATCTCCAGCACGGTACGGAACAAGTTGTCGGAAGTTTGAGTCAGGAAGCCGATCTCAGCATTAGGGTGCAAACCGTACAGGTAGGGGCTCTCTGGAGGTAACACCTCGTCAATGTAAGTATGGTACGTCTTGTAGTCTGAGTTAGGAGGGATGGGAAATCCTGGAGCAAGGTTCATCTCACCTTCAAGCTGCGAAAGCAAACATGCATTTTATTCAGTAGTATCACTTAAGAACTGTAACTCTATTTCTTTTTCAGAGTTTTATGGAGAAAGCTAGTCGAAACTTATCCGATTTAAAAATCCTAGATCGCTATTTTTCATTTCATTTGACATGAATAACAAAATCAAAACACTTGAGACAAAAAATCGAAATGATAAATCACAGTTTCAACAATTAGGCCTCAAAATGGATAAAACAAACAAAGTAAGGAATTTTGTTTTATCTGCAGAATTAAGAGACTACAGAATCGACGATTGCCGACTGAACATCAACTTTTGGGAAAAGGTTCAATACTTCTATATCGTGAACGCGTGTTCCGCGAAAATTACTTATCTGATGCTTAAAATGTTTCCGTGTTAGATGCTCATTTAGGCTAGGGTTGGTTACAAATCTAAGTTATTTACTGGTACTTGTATCTCACCATATCTGGTTTCATGTACTCCTCCAAGTAAGTTCTACAGAGTCTCCTGTCCCAGTCATCTGTGATATGACCGCCGTACATAATTTCACCAAATAGATAACGCAGATCGGTCCAAGGTACCTGTAGGCCACAGGGCAGGTACAAAGAGAAATGGTAAGCTGTGGTCAATACCAAGAGCATTATTCAAAGTAAAGTGGTGGAGTTTATCTCCTCTATAATTTAACTGTTTCGTTACATCGTCACATTTAACGTGGCTTTGCGTTCAAAGATGGTATACCAATCTCAAAACAGGTTCACTTACGAGCGCTGGTGAACTACGGTTGCAAACTTTCAAATATCTTCATCAATGTCCTGGTGATCAATGCCGGCCTCAAGTTATACTTGTAGACAGCTTAGATAAAAAGAAATCGTCTACAAAATATCGGTGCAGAAACAACTCTAGCATATCTGTTGTACCAACCTACAAGCGACAATCATTCTACAACCAAAGTTACGCTTATAATTTCTAGATGCAACTCGGTAATGTCGACTAGCGCATGTGTGTAACTATGCCTCAATGTTTCAGTTACCTTAGCATTAGCCTCGAGATAATTGTACAGCACATTTACACTGATAGTCAAGTCTCCAGTATTGAAGGGATACGACCTGTTCCATCCTTGTGGGCCAAACTTACGGCGCTCTGCTACACATGCGTGGAAATAACATAATGCGAACAGAATACTCTTGAATTCATTCTCACGGGCGCACATCTCCAGTGTGTCCTGATAAGGGGAACAAAGGATAAAGAAAACAATGATTTACCATCTGAGTATGTTTTTATAGGAAGAATCACGGGGAAATCATAGCCAGGCCTAAAGCAATAAATGGTATTACTAATCCCGCTGAATGATCACAATCCGCCGGTGGTTTTTTTTACTCACGAGTCGATAAGGATAATGTGTAAAGTTAACAGCACTCGTCGCGCCAATGGCCTGATCAGGGTTCAAATCTCTTCACCTGCTGGTGTCTGATGCGCTCCCTGTAAGACTACCACTCCTCCAAAAGAACAGATATAAAAGTATTGGCCGAACTTGTCCATCTCCAATACTTTGTTAGCATTTTTACTTTAGGACGAATATGAAGTAAGAAAAATTTCTTTGCAGTGTAAAATAACGTCATTTCTTTAATAACAATACCAATTGGATCTGGTGCTTACCTGGTTAAAGTTGTCTAAAGCCTGATGTAAATTGGCCATCATTCCAGTGGGTGGTTCATTGGTTATTTTGATGGAGGATTCCAGAATTCCTTGCGGTATGATGTGAGAATCAGGCGAACCAGCCGGCTCAGCTGAGATGTACACTCGATAGTTCTCATGACTTCCCTCACTATATGCCTCCAGCTTCTTTTCCAGAGTTGGTAGCCATTTCTTTACAAGATGTATATTCTACAACCAAAATTCCATTCAGAGAAATTTGTTAATCTACAACCGAGCTGAAAAATCTCGTACCAGTGCTCTAAGCTCCTGACCGAGCTTCTAATGACTATAAAATCAAGAGCAAAATATTAGGATGACCATACTGGGCAGTTTAAGGAAAAGTAGAAAATAATGGTAGCTAACTAATGACTTCAGTGTGTAAGAATTACCTGAAGGATAACCCAATGACCTTCCTTGGCGGCTAGGTCCAAACTCTGCTCCGCAACGATTTCTTGACCCTTAAATTCGAATAAAATTGATTAGCATGAAAGCATTATTGTGACGGTAGATAAGATCAGCCATAAAGAACGACTGTAAGGCTGTTCAAACTTGGAGCCAACACATGTAACCAGCACAGAACACGAAAAGAAGCACGTGATCAACTCGTGCCTGTTGTAGATGCTGTAATTGTTCTGCTAATTAACCTCACCTGACCAAGTGATACGTTATGGAAGTTTTTGTTGTCAAACGTGAAGCCGAGCTTCTTGCCCAGTGCTTCCACATCCTTCAAGGGATCGACACCAGGAGACAAGATGAAGAAGATCGGGGTCCCAGGTCCGCTCTCTTCGTAAGACTTGGCGAACTCCACTTGACGATTTTCCACGTATTTCGCACCCATCTTTTCTTCCACAAAGCCGCTGCATGAAGGAGAAGCACAAAGGTGAGCTTAGAAGTCAACTAATTTAGGATAAAATAAAAGTATCTTCTATGGAACTAAGCTAAATTACCACAATTCAGAAAAGACTTCAAAGATTCAATCTTAGAGGGAATTCCCTTGTCAGCCAAAACTGTTCAACCAAATTAGCCAATATCCTTATTGCACTCCGTTAGGCTATTCTTCTGGCATTCTTTTATGTCTGACTTCCAAGTCTGTCCAATCACTTCTAAATAACTACCGTAACAAAATAGTTACCCATATGTTAGGCCATCTAAACACTGTTCATGCCGTGCAAAAATTACATTTTTCCCCAAATTACCTAACGGCATATGTCATTCTGTCCGGCCTTAGAGCTCTCATCATGCAAAGTTTCTGTAACGAAGTCTTGTTTTTCCATTCTTGAGGGAATTTTTCCTTTTCCGGACACTCGCTCTCCACAAACTTCTTCCATCTCTTAGCCGAGCCTTCAATGTCGCGATCCAGGTTACGGAATTCTTCCATATTACCAAGGGCCTGAAGAGAAAGACAGAGACTGAGATGTGTCTGATACGTCCTGGTTTCAGTCATGAGGAGAGTTCCAAAATTTAGCAGCTACATTGAGCTAAGACATCGAGCCACCTCTAAGCCGACGAATTACGGTCGTTCCTTCGTCTTGTTGCGGTTTTCAGTCGTGCGATACTCAAGAAAAATAATCGTAGTTTTTAGCGCCTTACCTTAATTCCTCCCCAACACAGGTTGTTGAGAAAATCTACTGGACTTGTAACGTTCATAACTGCTGGGAACCGTAGAAGGAATTCTAACTCATGGGGCACAATCTCATTTTTCATCAGTAGAATCTGTATAAGGAAAATGCAGGGCACGGATTAGAGGGCAGTGCTCAATATTAAAAAAGTTATACGCATAGCTTTGTTGGCAATAAATTCCAGTTCTTCATCAGACCCAATAAGAGTAGAAATTTTTTAATAGAAAGAGTAGAAATTTTTTCATACCTGGAATGCCACTTGAGATGTGAAGATCAGTTTGTCTTTTTCAAACAATCCCCGAGTGGTGTAGATAAAGACTGAGAATGTGATGCAATCGATCAAGTTGTTCACTCTGATCTTCACTTCTTCTGCAGGTTCAGCTCTGTCAATGGCCTTCTGAAACACCACATTGAATGCCTAACAAGTGAAAGAAACACAAGATTAGTTTTGTTATGAAATGGTAAGATGGAAATTGAATCAAAAAGCAAGCAAATGTTTAAATCCCACTCTTCAAATAACATTGCGCGCTTGTTTGCCTTGAGTTTAAAATGCGTTAAAAGGTCATTTATGCTTCAACTGTTCTTTCAATTTTATGAGTAGATTTGGCGCTTAAACTGCAACATTTTTTAGAAAATTCCTTTCAAATCAAACTGTTTTGCAACTGACCTTAAGAGAAAACTGGTAGATGGGATTGATCTTATTCAGGTCATTCAATATGAAGTACAACAGTGATGATCGAGCAGCTGCTGGTCTGTACTGTTCACGGGCTTCGTTGATTTTTATCTCAGTGTTTTTTCCTTCCGCTACTTTGACTTCGATTTCTGCTGCTGTTCGTTTGGTTGTCTCGAGGTTCTCCACCAGAGCGTAATCTCCAAGGAAGTTTCCTCCAGCAGCGGACAGGCGAGCCAGAAGGGAGTCTTCAAGTTCTTTGATTTTGATGGTAAATTGGTTCATTTGCTGCGTCAGGTTGGCCTATTTGTAAATAAACAAACAAAAAGGGAAGGTTCATAAGCCGGATTCTATTCTGGTTTACATTCGAATCTCATCCTTCCTAATCAAAAAGTATCTCGTCAGCTCTTCTTTGCAGCAAATGGTGGCTAAAATTTCACAAATAATCACTAAACACTGCGAAAAACCAGTTCCTCTGTTTCTACACCACGAGGACCGTTCTTGAGCATCATGACACATAACAGACCCTTCTCATTTTCCTGTACTCTTGATCTTTCCAGCTTGCTAGAAAGTTTAAATTAGGAAAGTTCCATGCTAGAAGGTCCGTTGCGTTAGCGATACTTTCTGTTCTCCTTTCTGAAAAGCGAGGTCTGTTACCTTCGTTTCCTCGAGATCAGGCCTTTCTTTGCGAACAACATCGGCTAGCAGCTGGTCCTCCAGGCCTTCACGAGTGACCGTGAAGTTAATCAGAGTGGTCTGGGCCTGCATCTCGGGCTTGTAATGTGGATTAGCTAGTTTAGTGTGGAGGATGAGACGGAAGTCTGGATGATACTCGACTTCCTTATCACCCATCTTGATGTATCTGAAAAATCAAACAGTCGTTTAACTCAAAACTGTTTACTTATAACTGCAACAAGTTGGCGCCAGTTTTTTAGGCAAAGCTAACTCATGGTAATCACTTTCGACAATCAATTAACAGACTCAGTTAGAAAACACACCTTCCTTTCTTGATGGTGTTTCGTCCAACAAGTGCATCCAACACTGGATCCATGTTTTCACCAAGATTTTCAATTAGTACACAGTCACCGTTGGACACGGCACGCTCGATGGAATCCAGATACCTGTGTAGCAAACCTCAAATATCAGTTGTATATAATTGAGCTAAAAGGTGATTGGAAATGGCCTCGCCATAACTGTAGATTTAGAAACACCCTTGGTTCTGGAAAAAGCGACCTCAATTTGGCAGAAAAGTATATTCGAATATTTTTGGCCTCGGCCAATCTAGTCCAAGAAAATAATGTAAAACCGAGAATAAAAAAGAAGAGAAAAAAAGGAAGGCAAACTGGCAAAAGAGCGGTAAATAATTACCCTTTCTGTCCCAGTCTGACGACTCTGAGTTCCTCTCCTTCTCTTGTTTTGATCCACTTCACTCCCTGTAGTTGTGGATCAATCATTAGCGGCCATCTTTCGCAGTTTGTCAGGATGGTTGCGTTCTCAGTACTCATGCGGTCGCTTGGTAGATTCTCGTTATTCCACTGTGCGATCGTTGCGTTGTCAGTCAACAAGGTGAGAGGATCGAGGTTTTCAGTGATCTTGATTGGAACCTGAAGAATTCAGAAAACGCGTGTTAATACCCTGATCACAAGGATTGTCTGAATTACTTTCAAATAATTTCAATCGTTTTAGAACTAGCGTACCGACTGTCCTTTGAGGAATGGTAGCCACTTCTCGTGCATGAGGTTGTCTCGGTATTTCCGTGTGAAGCAGCCGACGTATGATACGAATGCAGTGGTAAGCAGCACATCACCGGGTAAAGTCTTCTCCTGCTCCTTGAAGTTCGCCACTGATTCGGCCCAACGGACATTTTCCGAAGCCAGGCCTCCAACTAATCGATTGGCCAGTTCGATTGTCATTGCCGTCTGTTCGGCTTCTTGCTGGCACTTCAGTTTCTCGGCAGTGGCCTTAAAATAGTACCGTCAAATGAGTAGCAGTTCAAAATATATGAACTTCATATATTTATTGTATCTGATTTATCATCACGGGTTTATTACGAATCAACTTAACGGCCTGCTCTCAGTTGGCTTGTTAGCTCAATTGGTAGAGCGCTGCACTAGTATCGCAGAGGTCAAAGGTTCGAATCCCGTACAGGCCTGATTTTCGCTATTACATAAATAGCGCTCTCTATTGCCTATTGCGAGGATCGTGCATCATACGTAGTTTTAAACTTCTACGCTACTTTTTTAGAAAGACCGCTTTCATAAAAAATAAATACATAAAAAAATAAATTCCCTGACCCAAGTTTTCCTGTGGGCAGCAAATAAGTGAATTCTTAATTTGTCACGTCACTGAAAATTGCTGAAACGTTACAATTTCTTGGGTACAATTTGTACTGTTCGTGTCTGATTTGGAGGAGGAGCTCTATATAAATTACATGTGCACACGCCGGCATTTTCAGTAACTTCAGGCGAAAACTAGAAAATCGCCAAATCACCCTCTACGATACTTTTGTAGGGAATTAGGTATGCCCGTTCGTACTTTTAGCAGTCTGTACATTGATATGACCAATGCGTTGTTTTGTGCGCTTACCCGCTCAAATGAAGCCGTCAGTTCAGCCAGGTTTTCATCCAGTTCGTTGATCTTAGCCTTGATCTTAGCCAGCTTCTCTTCTGCAGCAGCAAGTTCTGCGTTAGCAGCGGCTAAGGCCTGTCTCTTGGGTTCTACGTCACAAAACACGTGATAGAACCTGATGATGTTGATTGCCCAAGCACAGATACCAGCGGCAGCGATGGACTTGCTACGGATGAAGTCAGGTTCAAACTCTGGATCGTCAAGATACGGCTGTACGGCCTTCAAGTTGTTTTCATGAATGTTCTCCTTGTCGTAATTTATCAGGGAATCCAAAAACTGATCGACCTTTTTTCAAAATGAGAGGCAAAGTATTAAAATTTGGTGTGGACTTATTTTTTCATTTAGAATTTTCCATGTAAAACTTAGCCGAGAAGGTTTGCTTTCATGATTACACCCGTTATCTGATATCTAGTCGTATTTTTCTGGATAATATATTGAGTTTACTAAGAAAGGTTACATATAAATCACGTCTGCGAGTACATGCTGAAGTGGTGATTATTCCATGATTCACGTCAAAATCTAGTTTTGAACCACCTCTTTGCTTGAGTTCCTTTCCTCCCCGCAGAATATTCAGTTTTAGTAGATACTGAAACAGTGGATAGCGTTGAAGGCGCGCTCTGATTGGCTAGTCAAACTCCGAATATCCTTTGCTATTTACCTCCGAGCAACTCAGGAAAAAATGTGTCCCGGTTTGCATCCGTGACAAGCAAAAAAATCACTCAAATTGACGACGGTGGTGTATATTATCTGACTGTTTTAGTATATACTAAAACAACTATTCACCTCAGTGTCGGTG